GGAAATTAATTTAATCAAAAAAAAAAAACATAGCCTTATATACAAGTGGATGGGGTGGGCATGTGCAATAGGTGCAGCGGGTAGTAAACTGGGATGGGGAACATGGGAGAATGTTGGTAGCATTAGTACATGTAGCCTTTGGAGTACGACTGAGGGCCCATGTTGGTGGCAGCTGGTTCAGACGGGTAAGACACCCCCTCATCGAGGTGAGACAGCGGCACAGTGTCCTCCTCGTTGACGTAGCGTTCGAATTCTGCCTTCAGACTTGGCCGCTGATTGTCAGGAAAAGCCAAGGATATCAGAGCCTCCGGCTCACACACAAATTTGTAAACATAACACTCACACGCCACCTGGAAACAAAAAACAAGTTTTTAAATATTTCATAATCAAAAACAATAACCCTCATGTTCTGTTTGGGACCCCAAACTAATTTTTAACATCTCAAAAAAACATGATTAACATGGAAGTATCAGGTTGATACAAAATGAATTGTTAGATCATCCATGAAAAATGTTTCTGTTTGCGGTTAATTTGACACCCTAGAAATAAAAGTGGAAATGAAATGCATATATCATATGTAATTATGTAATGAATTTTCAGATGATGCACATTTAATTTAATTTTGTTTTATTGTATTCGAAATGTATTTTGTATCATGTGTTTTTGCTGGTGTCAAACTGACACCAGACAGAAACAACATTACTTGATTAGATAAAATTGAAATTTTGGAATTAGGTTATTATTATTATTATTAATTTTACACAAATCATTCTGGAGTCTATATTTGGAGTCTCTGCGATCCCAAATAGAGAGTAAAGTAAATCCCAACCCAACGTAAAGGTTGAAGTGAAGAAAAAAATTGCATAGGAGACAATAAAATATGATATGCAATACCTTTTGCATAATTCTCTTCTCATAATAGTAGCCCAAAGAACGACTCAGTTTGTCGTAATTCATGGCTGGACGGTTCTTCTGCATCCCCCAGAGTCTTGCCACCTAGAGTGTCAAAATAAGTCATAACACAAACCATAAGAGCAGGAAATGACTGTACTGCAGTGACTTAATTTGAACACAAGAGGTCCTTTGTGACTGTACAACAACTGAACTATGAAAAGGAAGGGCGAGTCCCCACAAAATAATGCAGTTCCCTTTATATAACCAAAGAAGCGTTTACCACTAAACGCTGACCAAAACACCACACGGTGCACAGCTCAAACTGCTAGTTGTCAAACCTAGAGGAAATACTAATTTATCCCAAACTTTAAAGATCAACTTGAGGGCCCTAGAAAATTTTTTTGTTCCATCTTGGGCCAGTAGACATTTAAAGAACAAATTGTTTGGTCTTCAACAGAGCTCTATGCTTTAATTCCGATAGTAACATTTTGGCTGTAATGAATGATTCATGTGTATGGTTGAGCAGAATTGATGGATTTATCTCTGCAGGATAGTTTGCTGAGTCATGCCATTTAGCCGTCTACTGACAACAGACAATAGGAGGTTAACGCTCTCGTCTCGACTGCTGCGGTGTGCTTAGACTCCGGCAAAATGGAAGGTTGTAATATTTGGTAATGGAGCCATTCTCCATTTTATTTCACTATGCTGTTAAGTGGGGTAAATAATGCATGGCAGCTAATGGAAAACTGGCATTGTGTAGATGTGATCTTAGACCCTGGGGAACTATGAGCTGATTGCAAGCAAATCTCTGAAACCCATTGTTTATTCTCGCTATAGTTTGTGAAGGCTGAATGAACACTGCATCAAATTGATCTAAACCTCCCAGTATTCATATTGTCATCTTAGATCTTTGAATGATCAATTGCTATTAAAGTTTTCTGGATATAAAAACATATTTTGCCTTCTGAGAACTCTTAAAAGCCCAATTTTTACCTCCTCTGGCTCAATGAGTTTGAACTCCATGCCACGGCCGGTCCATGCAATGAAGTGAGCATTGCCAGGGTCGTCGAGGAGGGCCACCAAAAACTGCCAGAGCTGAAGTGAGCCACGGCGCTGATAGGGGGCGCCTTCACGAAACACACCGCCTCCTTCCTGCTTCACCTCACCTGAGCAAAGGAAAAGAGATTGTCCATTAATTCACCTATAGATAGCAATCATATATCAAAACTTTTTATCCAAGCTAAGACACATGGTGATAAGGACTTGATTTGAAATTGCAAATATTCATAGAGTGGGGAGACCACATTGAAAATCTGAGATTCAAAATCTAATTTAAACCTACTAAACAAATTTTAGGATTTTAAAAAATGTGTTAAAGAAGAAATGTTATGAACTGAATTAGAAATGTTTAGGAATCTGCACTCTTTCTCTTTTCACATCGATACAGCTCTTTTTCTGTACACTTTCTAGGTCGCTAATCAAATAAGCAAATTTGTGACGCTGATCACGTGAACTCCTTTGTAGAGACGGTCAGATGTTCTTGCTTCCACTGAAGCACAAGATGCTCTTTGGATCATTCTCAAATCATGCTGGAGAATGTAATCATCAGGTTTTATATTATAAAACCTCATATTTATATTTATATTTATATTAATTTTTCAATTCAATTTTCCATTCTGATTGTTATGCTGGGGACAATTTGTAATGGAAAAATAAAAATAAAAAATGAATGAATACATTTTCAGTAATGGTCTCAGACTTTTGGGCACCACTTTATTGATTTTGTTTCTCATTTTTGTGTGTTGTAGTTTTAATTACAGCACTTCATTTCATTGTATGAGCTTGGTACTTGAACAGATTATTTGAATTTGAAATGAATACCTATTGTATGAAAATAGCATCTGGACCAGTGAGACTTACCTTCAAATTTCTCAGGAACAACGCGGGAATCATTTTCAAACATGTGACCTAGTAAGATAGGACAAGGGAATTATTAGTAGTTCAATGTGGATACCAAGACAATCCAATTGAGTTACAGGTATATTGTGCTAATGCATGAATGGTTAGTCATTAATAATAATGAGCATGGGCTGCATGATTGGGGAAATATCTAATTGTGATTTTTCAGATATAATAAAAAAATAATAATAATAGAAAGTGTACTATTATTATTATTAAAGAGATTAAACATAATAAGAATGATTACTAATGTCAAACTTTACTATAAAACAAAAAAATTGAATAGGACCCAAACTTGCAGCACATGCATTGTTTTTTTTCCCATTTAGTGCAGGCCGCTTTAGGATGCTGAAAACACCCGATCTTGAATTGCTCACGTGTAAATAAACACAGTGCCGCACTTCACTCTGAAACGCATGTATTTATTTAAACCACAGCCTTTGCGATTTAATAATCACACCAAGTCATTTCTTGTTATCAGGTTTATTTAGCTTTAATCATGCAGCCCTACTACGTTGTACAAAAGTGTTGGTATGGTTTCTTATTGGTGTTAGTTTGTATTTCTCTCTATTTTTGTTCTGTAGCAGAGCAGCAGCCACCGGCCTGGTCAGGGATGAAACTACTGATAACGGCCTGTACTCCACCTCAGATAGGGCACATATCCTCACACAAACATCCTTTTGTTCCAGACTAACTCATCCCAAGCTGCCACATTTCTGCACGTATGAATCTGAGCTAAGTAGCATCAGACTTTCTCAGTGATATTAGTGAAAAACAGTTTTATTTTAGTATTCTTTAAATACTGCTTTTATTTGTATCCGGTTTTCATTTTATTTTTGGTCATTTATGTGCTTTTGTCATTTTTATTCGTTTTTGAGGGTTTTGTTTTATTTCAGTTTTTAGTAATTTTAGGACTTCAACTTATTTTATTTCAGTTAGTTACCAAGGTAACATTTCAAATTTTTGTTTAAATCTTTTAAGTTTAACATTTTCAGATAATATTTGTGTTTATGTGCTTTATTCAATTATGGAAATGTTAATTAATCATTTCAATAGTTTTAGTTAACAAAAACATCACTGGACAAAGTAGTACCTCGAAAAAACTAAAAGGATACGAAACAACCCAGAAAAAGTCATGCTTCCTTTTTTTCCACTTAAAATAATCGGGTAACGATTATTTTCGGGTAATGAACTGGTAACTTTGTTTTTAAGCTAATCTATGTGCAATGTTTGTTAGATCACTGTTGTTTGTAGTCTTTCCCAGAGCACTGATAAGTTGGACCTGCGCAGGGTGTTGTGTTTCAACCCTGTGTCAGTCGCTAAACCCGAGTGTGAGGAGGTGAGTTCGCTGTGTTGTGAGTATATGGTCCGAACCCCCCGGCTACAACACAACCCTCCCACCTCCCGCCCGCTCGACCAAGCCAGCGCACAGGCTCAGGTTACCGAGGCTACGCTCATTTTTCCATTATGAGTTCATCTGCCTGCAGAAAAAGGAAGCCGCTGCTGCAACACTACACCCGCGAGCGCTCCGCTGGGGATTCTAGTCTTTCCAGTGCCCTCCATTTTCTCAATGAAATTCCTATGCCTCCCTCCCTCTCAAAGAACACAGGCAGAAAGGGAGGGGCAAAGGAGCAGGAGCGGGGAGAAGTACAGAAACACTGTTGAGACCTTTGCAAAGTGTCAGTGGATGTGGAAGTGGAGAACCGCAAACAGAATCTCTTTGGAAAAAAAGACTTTTTGGTTTTGCCGACCAATTTACTGTTTACATTAGTGGCCTAATGTGGTTGGATTTTTCAGGAAGAGAAAGGCGAATAAATTCACTATGTGTCATCAGTCTTTTGGCTCACATACCAGGTTCGTAAGTGTAGTCAGTGGGTTCCTGTTTGACCATCATATGGGCAGGAGGAAACCTCTGATGCTGTGGCCCGGCCATGTGGGCCGCTCGGTCGTACAGAGGGTCCATGTACTCCTGCTTGAAGTTCTGCTGAGGAGGATAAGGCGAACACGGGTCAGAGTGTTGCCGATGGTAACCACCACCTCCGCCCCCGGTGGCATGGGCAGGATGTATACGCTGCAGGGCCTGGCCTTGGGAAGCGAATGGTGGGCACACCTCAGCAGAGCCGGAAGGGAACCTGGAACTGGGAGGGAAAACGAGACCTTGATTAACACATAGGCTCTGAAAAATGCTTTTGCAATGCAAGGATGCCTTGTTAACTGTTCTCTTTTGATGGTGAAAAAAAACTGATGAATAAAACCGATATTTTATGTTATGACAAATAAGCAATAAAGAAAGTAAGAAAGTTTTCAATAAGAAAACATTTTAAACTTAGAATTTTAGTCTAAAATTCAGTCGTTTTAAATGTTATAAAGTAAATTTGGCATCACAACATTGTAAAGTATGAGAATTGAATATTTGCTACATAAATCTAAAAAAAGATTACATTTAACAGTGTTTTTAAAGATTAATTTTAAGTAAGAGTTAAATGACGGAAAAGGTCATTTAAATGAAAAACAGAGGAAATAAACATGCACAATTAAATATCCATATGGATTCACTTGTATTTAAAATGACTGATTTTAGTTTTTCCACAGATAACCGATATGATACCGATATATGCATTGCATACCTTCTTAAAAGTAAACACACCTACACATTCTTTATCATTATTGTTACCTGGGGTTCATGGGGTAACTGTGGCTGTGGCAGGCGTGGGATTGGCTGGCTGAGGGTGTATTCATGTACCCTGACTCCGGCCGAGTTCCCACTGTTGTTTTTGGGGAGTAATGCTGCATAGGAGACCTAGGTGTCCCTGGACAAGAGCTCTTAGATCCTCCTGCTGCTGCTGCTGTTGCTGCCACAGCTGCTCTCTTCTGCTCATAGGCACTGCAGGGCACACAGACACTTTTTCAATAAGTCAACAATGCATTTCTTTCCTGTTACATGCATGAGATCATGTACGGACGTATCTTCGACTATTAACATTTTTTATGTCTCGGGGGTAGATTTTTATTAAAAAAAATTCTCTGTTTAAATAAGGGTCACATTAAAAGTAGAAAAGTATATGTATAGGCTTTTGTTTTATGTTTGAGCCAGACGTTCATTCTTAAAATATGAGAATATATAATGAAAATATTTATTAATCATTTTTAAAACATAATCTAAACAAAGTGGAAAAACTATTTTTATATTAATGTCAAAATTATAATATTTCTTACACAAATTCTGACCCTCAGATGTGTTCTCATTTTTTATTATGTGTGAAAATATTATTTAGTTGTATTTAATTAAATAAAATGTGAAATCAGCCTTAGCAAGACAAGTCTGCTGTTTTATTTAATAAATTGTTTAAAATGCTGTTTTAATGCTTAAAATATCGTGCATAGGGCTAAAAGTGCGTGCAGTAAACCTGTTCACGCCAACAAAGTATGTTTGAGAAAGAAGCATCAAGTGAGAGGCATCAAGCAACAGCATTCAGCTTTTGACTGACCTGGGTTTTATTTTAGTATTCTTTAAATACTGCTTTTATTTTTATCTTTCCGGTTTTCATTTTATTTTTGGTCATTTATGTGCTTTTGTCATTTTTATTCATTTTTGAGGGTTTTGTTTTATTTCAGTTTTTAGTAATTTTAGGACTTCAACTTATTTTATTTCAGTTAGTTATCAAGGTAACATTTCAAATTTTTGTTTAAATCTTTTAAGTTTAACATTTTCAGATAATATTTGTGTTTATGTGCTTTATTCAATTATGGAAATGTTAATTAATCATTTCAATAGTTTTAGTTAACAAAAACATCACTGGACAAAGTAGTACCTCGAAAAAACTAAAAGGATACGAAACAACCCAGAAAAAGTCATGCTTCCTTTTTTTCCACTTAAAATAATCGGGTAACGATTATTTTCGGGTAATGAACTGGTAACTTTGTTTTTAAGCTAATCTATGTGCAATGTTTGTTAGATCACTGTTGTTTGTAGTCTTTCCCAGAGCACTGATAAGTTGGACCTGCGCAGGGTGTTGTGTTTCAACCCTGTGTCAGTCGCTAAACCCGAGTGTGAGGAGGTGAGTTCGCTGTGTTGTGAGTATATGGTCCGAACCCCCCGGCTACAACACAACCCTCCCACCTCCCGCCCGCTCGACCAAGCCAGCGCACAGGCTCAGGTTACCGAGGCTACGCTCATTTTTCCATTATGAGTTCATCTGCCTGCAGAAAAAGGAAGCCGCTGCTGCAACACTACACCCGCGAGCGCTCCGCTGGGGATTCTAGTCTTTCCAGTGCCCTCCATTTTCTCAATGAAATTCCTATGCCTCCCTCCCTCTCAAAGAACACAGGCAGAAAGGGAGGGGCAAAGGAGCAGGAGCGGGGAGAAGTACAGAAACACTGTTGAGACCTTTGCAAAGTGTCAGTGGATGTGGAAGTGGAGAACCGCAAACAGAATCTCTTTGGAAAAAAATACTTTTTGGTTTTGCCGACCAATTTACTGTTTACATTAGTGGCCTAATGTGGTTTGATTTTTCAGGAAGAGAGAGGCGAATAAATTCACTATGTGTCATCAGTCTTTTGGCTCACATACCAGGTTCGTAAGTGTAGTCAGTGGGTTCCTGTTTGACCATCATATGGGCAGGAGGAAACCTCTGATGCTGTGGCCCGGCCATGTGGGCCGCTCGGTCGTACAGAGGGTCCATGTACTCCTGCTTGAAGTTCTGCTGAGGAGGATAAGGCGAACACGGGTCAGAGTGTTGCCGATGGTAACCACCACCTCCGCCCCCGGTGGCATGGGCAGGATGTATACGCTGCAGGGCCTGGCCTTGGGAAGCGAATGGTGGGCACACCTCAGCAGAGCCGGAAGGGAACCTGGAACTGGGAGGGAAAACGAGACCTTGATTAACACATAGGCTCTGAAAAATGCTTTTGCAATGCAAGGATGCCTTGTTAACTGTTCTCTTTTGATGGTGAAAAAAAACTGATGAATAAAACCGATATTTTATGTTATGACAAATAAGCAATAAAGAAAGTAAGAAAGTTTTCAATAAGAAAACATTTTAAACTTAGAATTTTAGTCTAAAATTCAGTCGTTTTAAATGTTATAAAGTAAATTTGGCATCACAACATTGTAAAGTATGAGAATTGAATATTTGCTACACAAATCTAAAAAAAGATTACATTTAACAGTGTTTTTAAAGATTAATTTTAAGTAAGAGTTAAATGACGGAAAAGGTAATTTAAATGAAAAACAGAGGAAATAAACATGCACAATTAAATATCCATATGGATTCACTTGTATTTAAAATGACTGATTTTAGTTTTTCCACAGATAACCGATATGATACCGATATATGCATTGCATACCTTCTTAAAAGTAAACACACCTACACATTCTTTATCATTATTGTTACCTGGGGTTCATGGGGTAACTGTGGCTGTGGCAGGCGTGGGATTGGCTGGCTGAGGGTGTATTCATGTACCCTGACTCCGGCCGAGTTCCCACTGTTGTTTTTGGGGAGTAATGCTGCATAGGAGACCTAGGTGTCCCTGGACAAGAGCTCTTAGATCCTCCTGCTGCTGCTGCTGTTGCTGCCACAGCTGCTCTCTTCTGCTCATAGGCACTGCAGGGCACACAGACACTTTTTCAATAAGTCAACAATGCATTTCTTTCCTGTTACATGCATGAGATCATGTACGGATGTATCTTCGACTATTAACATTTTTTATGTCTCGGGGGTAGATTTTTATTAAAAAAAATTCTCTGTTTAAATAAGGGTCACGTTAAAAGTAGAAAAGTATATGTATAGGCTTTTGTTTTATGTTTGACCCAGACGTTCATTCTTAAAATATGAGAATATATAATGAAAATATTTATTAATCATTTTTAAAACATAATCTAAACAAAGTGGAAAAACTATTTTTATATTAATGTCAAAATTATAATATTTCTTACACAAATTCTGACCCTCAGATGTGTTCTCATTTTTTATTATGTGTGAAAATATTTTTAATATCTCTAATTACCAATTTCAAATATAGGCCCTATACTGATATTAAAGCATCTGATTAATGAAATCAATACATTCTGTGTGCTCTCTTTTGTTTTATCCCAATATAAAAAAAATAAAATGAAATAAAAAAATGTGGTCTTTGACCTAAAATGAGTTTGACACCTCTGGTGATCGTAATCTGTCACGTAAGGCTATAAACCTGGCAACATATAGATTTAAATAATGCTGTCCTTACATACGAGTGCATTTGCATTCACACCTCCCTTCAAGCTACATCTAAGAGTGAAAAACCAGTAGCATTGTACCTAAATGACAAGAGTGTCTCCATTCAGGATGAGCTTTTAGAGACAGACTGGGCTAGAGGTGGGAGCTGGACTTTACATATGTAAATAGCACGATTCAGTGACGAGGATAAGGGGTCAAAGGTTATGGTCATGGTTGAGTGCTTTAGGAAGTAGGGGATCATTATGGAAGGCCATTCGGTCAACTCCCACCACAAACAAATCTCAGGACCCCGATACCCCCCTGCTCTATACAAAAAAAAAAAAAGAAGATCCACCAGCTGTGACAGTTATGGTGGCCTTAGCTAAGAGCTCTGGGGGATCGTCCTCAGAGAGTGTGTTAAAGTACAAGTAATCACTAATCAGTTTGTTTTGAATAAAAGTACCATTGTTGAAACTGTGAGCCTTTGAGCTGTGTTTTGGATCAAGAAAATCAGATTTCAGTCACTGTTAAAGCAGGACAACTTTGCTTTTGAGTTAAACCTTTTGATCAAAAGATCATCTGGACAGTATTGTATATTCACGTCAGGCTCACATCCTGGACATTTTCATCTTATGACAGCTACAGTTGAGGCCATCCATATCAACTCAACAGGTACAATGTACCAAAATTTGAGTAATAATATCTGAAGACTATAAGCCTATCATATTATACCAGAGGAACGTGACTGCTGTGGCCTGTCATCAGATAAAACACAAATCCTGAGCAGAACAAGTCTTTATACAAAGAGTGTTTGATAAAAACACTGGAAAATAAAGGATTATCGTATTGCGTTATTCGGGTGTGATATGAGTGAATCCTTCATGCGTGTTTGATATTTGAGCTGATGTTGTGATAAAATCTGATTTCAGATAGCAGTCTGCTTAAGAGTGAGTGAAGAGATGCTGCCTGGCGTCCCACTGGCTATTTGAGACCAACAGGGACAAATCAATAAGAACAACAAGGATGCCAATTATGTCTAAATTGCTTAAAGGTTGAAATGGCAGTATTGATTTTGGGCAGCCCACTTAACACAGCTCTCAAAGCTGGCTTGTTTCTTTTTAAGTACAGCCTGTTATAGGAAGTACATCAGGTGTTTAACTGAAGTAAAAATGGCAGGATTGCAAAACAGAAAGTCACTATTATCAGTGGCGGCTCGTGGGTTTTAAAATAGAGGAGGCACACTAATTGTATTGGTCTGGGATCCCTGCCGATTATTATTATTATTATTTGCTTAACCAC